TGAAAACTTGCTATTAGACTGCCCTCCCTCTTTTTTTTTTTTACTTTATCAGCAGTTGTTTTCATAAAAACAAACACCCAATAGTCATAGTTTCACAGTTGAAAAAGTTACACATTACACAATTCATTGTATATTCAACAGGTTCCCATTTCCTAAAGGGCTTGTAATATAAAGCAGAATAGAAGGGAAAACCTCAAAGTTGATTACTTTGACACTAAGTTTTACACAGAACACTAAGAACCACAAAAAGCTTAGGTTCTATCAGAAAATACAGACCAAATTCCATTCTTGATTAAAAAAATCCAATTAGAAACATCTTTTAAAAAAACCACCAAATTCCACAATATGATTAACAAATTTCAAATTAACAGCAGTGTAAAAAATTTTTAAGTAAAAAATTTTGTATAGCTAGAATATAACAAAAAGTTAAAGCATGATTTTCAAACAGTTTCTTGCTAGAATGTGTTTAAAATTAGGTTTTACTTTCTTTAAACCTGTAACCCCTCCCCAAGACTGCTCCCCTTTTTTGTAGTTATTTCCCCTACTCATTGAAGAGGGAGGTGAACCTAGTCATTTTCTTTATCAGTAGTCCTGGCATCACTCTTTTTTATTAAGAATTTTTAAAATATCTAAAAGGTAAGAACTATTTTTATTCTAAAATAACCATAATATTTCACATTCCTCTGGTTGTCTCCTAAATGTCTTTCTTCAGTAACAGGTTCCATTTCTACAATTAATTAGTTAATTAATTAATACGGTGTGCTTGTTTGTATCAGGAAACAAAGTCCGATATTCCATTTTGTTAGTTGTCTGTTCAGTCTTTTAAAATCTGAAACAGTTTATCTTCCTTGTTATTTATTTGTTTATTTGTTTAAGAAACCACATTTTCCTATTTGCATCTCTGTGGTATGATTAAATTTAACATGTTCATCTAATCCCTGTATTTCCTGTAGACTGGTTATTAGATGTAGAGCCTTCTATACTAATAATAGAGGAATATGCAAATTGTCCGGGACACCATCACGTAACGATCAATCAGGACAGGGACAGGACCATGGCAGAGAGCTCTCAGCACACCTGCGCCAGGGGTCCGAAGGGTGTGGAGAGCAGATAGGCAGTTGGGAGGATCAGGCCAGGAGGGGAGAGCAGATAGGCAGTTAAGGGGATCAGGCCAGCAGGGGAGAGCAGTTAGGCAGTTAGGGGGATCAGGCCAGGAGGGAGAGCAGTTAGGGGGATCAGGTCAGCAGGGGAGAGCAGTTAGGGCCATCAGGCTGGCAGGGGAGCAGTTAGGGGCATCAGGCAGGCAGGCAGGTGAGTGGTTAGGAGCCAGTGGTTCCAGATTGCGAGAGGGATCCCAGATTGGAGAGGGTACAGGCCGGGCTGAGGGGACCCCCCACCCTCCATGCATGAATTTCGTGCACCAGGCCTCTAGTAATACTATAAAGATGACTTTGTAGGTGATGCTGTGCACTTTCTACTGCATCACATCAGGAGACACTTATGTCTGCTTATCTCTCTTTTAATGATGCTAAGACTGATCAATCTGTTCAGGTGCTGTCAGTCTGATTCATCTATTTCATAATTCCTCATTAGAATTTTAACTTAATATACCTCTGAGCTGTTGATGATAGTTGTCTAGAACCATGTTTCATTGGGGGTTATAAAATATTAATCTTGTAATTCTAATGATTCTTCTGCATTTATTAGCTAAAATTCTTTTATCAAAGACTTTGGCTCATCAACTATTTGGTTACCCTGAGGTGAGATGAATTTTTAATTATTTCCTGTATTTACCAGTTTTCACATAATGAGTTGATTTTGTAGTATGTCCAATGAGTTTCTTTTTTGTTGTTGATGATATCATTATAAATTTGCAAATTTTAACATTTTTGATGTGTTTCAATCCATTTCAGTCATTATTCTCTTTAATGTTAAATGGCTTTGGCCATTGGCTCCTGTGTTCTTTTGAGATGAACTCAGTAGCTTGCTTGTATTTCTTTTTTTTTTTTTTTTAGTATATTTTATTGAATTTTTACAGAGAAGAAGGGAGAGGGATAGAGAGTCAGAAACATCGATGAGAGAGATCGATCAGCTGCCTCCTGCACAGCCCCCAGTAGGGATGTGCCCGCAACCCAGGTACATGCCCTTGACCGGAATCGAACCTGGGACCCTTCAGTCCGCAGGCCGACGCTCTATCCACTGAGCCAAACTGGTTCGGCTGCTTGTATTTCTGATAAGATGCCCTAGGCACCTCTTATATATTTCCTGTTCCAGAGTTGGAATCAGCCATTCTTCCAAGAAGGCCTTGATCCTTTTGGAGGGAAATGTTAGAGACCATGATCCAGGTTCTAGAGTGCTCATTGTTACTGGTTTGATCATTACTTCTAGATGAAATATATTTGTTTTTGACATAAAAATATGTCATGAGTGTAAACTGAAGTTTCAAGTTCAAATTTAAGATTACAGAGTTTGCCGAAACCGGTTTGGCTCAATGGATAGAGCGTCGGCCTGCAGACTGAAAGGTCCCAGGTTCGATTCCGGTCAAGGGCATGTACCTGGGTTGCGGGCACATCCCCAATAGGAGATGTGCAGGAGGCAGCTGATCGATGTTTCTCTCTCATCGATGTTTCTAACTCTCTATCTCTCTCCCTTTCTCTCTGTAAAAAAATCAATAAAATATATTTTAAAAAAAAAAGATTACAGAGTTTTACTCTTGGTTTTTTATTTGAAACATTTTTCTTTTACAAGAAAATGTTGGTTCCCGAAGACATTAATGGTGCTATATATATCTACCCTAAAATATAGTTTCAAATAATAAATCAATATTATTCTAATATGTTACTGAATACTGTTTTAGATTTTTAATTTTTTAATATAAACAAATCCATATATCTTCATATCCGTCCCTTTATTAGATAAAAGGTATCATACTATACACACTGTTTTACATCTTACATTTTTTATTATATAACATATCCTGGAGATCACTCAATAGATCTTCCCTATTCCTTTCACAGCTGTATAGTATTCCACTTTGTGAATTTACCATGGTTTATTCAACCTATCCCATATTGATAGATAGTTGGGCTGTTCTAATCTTTTGCTGTTACCATTAGTGCTGTGTATAGTAATTGCCTTGTGTGTATGTTATTTCATAGTTTTGTTTATCTCTGGGATAGAATTCTAAAAGTAAAATTGCTGGGTCAAGGAATTTACATGTATATAACTTTGCTATCTCGTGTCATGGTTATAATAGTTTGGTGGGGATTGGAGTTGAGGAGCAGATAATCTCTATATATAAAAGCCTAAGAGACCGTTCAACCGTTCAACTGGTAGCTATGACATGCACTGACCACTAGGGGGAAGATGCTCAACAAACAGGCATGGAAGCATGGAACAGACTGATGAATCTCAGAGGAAAGGGGGGAGGGGGGAGGGTGGGAAGAGATTAACCAGAGATCTTATATGCATACTAGAGCCCAGTGCATGGATTTGTGCACCAGTGGGTCCCTTGCCTGGCCTGCAGGGATCGGCTGAAACTGGCAGTACGA